CATTTTTATAGAGATAAACGCGCTTTTACGACTTCAAAATATGGAGATTCCAGAGCAAAACTTTGGAGCAACCCTCTTGAGGAATTCCCTTCAACTTGGTATCCTCTTCAAGAACCTCCTTTTTCACGAACTTGAGTGCATTCTGCAAGTAAATTAAAACCAATTAATTCATATTTTCAATAGATTTATTCTCATTCTACCCTTCATTACATTACCGAAAGATACATCAAATTATAATTTGTTTCATCTATCATCAAATTATAGAAACACGTCAGAATTAAACACTATATGGATTGAAATATATATTAAAATAATTGATACGATAAACGAGCTTGAGTTATTAGACCCCTGTTCGTTAATTGTTGACTTTGACTTGAGATTAAAATCAGATTTTAATTTGTACCAAACAAGGGATAAGAAATTGATTTTACTACATGACGACTTGTAATATACCTGCGAGGTACGTTGAGCAGATGAAGTGCGCCCCCATCTTTCTGGATCCCAAAGAATAGAGCTATTGAATGCAAAACTTGAAATATGAATTGGAAATGTAGTTGCTGTACTTGTATCTGTTAGGTTTTCCATTTTCTTCAAATGCCACCCTATAACTTCTGAAGAATCACATACAGGTCCTTCTATAATTACCTTCTTTTTGTTGGCATATAGTTTAGCTATTGGCCATGTCCCAAATGCCCTGAAATATAATCCCCTAGGCTTTAGTAATAATGTAAATATTATCATTCTAAATTACTTTTTTATTTTTGATGTTATTAGATTTTGTGTGAGTTTTTTTTTTTCAAATATTAAAATCAGCACGTGTTTGGTCTGCCTAAGAATTATAATTTTGGTAAAGTTTGATAAAAGTTCGTGAAATATGTGGTTGAAAAGTTAATAAAAGTTTTGAGTCCCATAATGTGTTGTTGAAAATGATTTTTATAAAAAAAAAAAACGAGTTTTATAAAATGGAAAGCAAACAGGGACTAAGTACTCTCTCAATTCGAATATGGCTCTGTCGCTGTCTCTCCGCTTACATTTTAACAATCTTGAGTTACTATTCTATTGTAAGAACTGAGTATTAATTTACTTTTTTTAGAAAAAGTAATTTTAAGGCATTATATGTTAAAAAAACGTACGCATCTCTCTTAAAAAACCCAATAAAAAGAGAGGATTAAAAGAAAGATTGCGGGAGAATTTATCATAAGAGTTGCAAGATTGAGAAATGAAGAAGAAAACATACTCGATTGCTCTAATCTCTTGGAAGAAGCTAAGATCATACACGTTCAAAAGTGAGGCAAAATGCACAATTCCACTCAGCCTATGATGCTCAATGTGATTAAGAGCAAGGTTTCTTTGATGATCCATTTCAGCATGTATATCAGTGAAATTCTCCTTGAACACTACATGCCTATACATGATTCCTGTATTCCTCAATATCTCAGAAACCTCTACAGAATCCGAAAACTGCTCCACAACAATCCACAAAAGTGGTTGAGCAACCAATTTCAATGTGTTTGCTAGCCTCCTAAGAAGCACCCCTCGAAGCCTATCCGTCTTGCTCGTAGGAGTAACAATTATTACAAGCCTCCTCGGATTTAACTCGCCGTTGTTTATTGTTTCTTCTTTGGGGTTTTTAAGGTTTTCTGCATCACGGGATTCTTCTGGTGCAGTAGAAATTGCAGTTTCTTCCAATTCCCTTGAGGTGAAATTCTGTGTTTTCTCAGGGTTTAACACTTCCGCAGGCTGTGGTGAAAATTCTGACGAGTGATTCGAGATTGCAACTCCATTAGAAAATAATAAAGACTTACCCGTTGGAGCAAAGCCTGTGAAGAACCCCATGACGAAACATAACATGAAATGAACAATTGCTTTCTTCCATAATTGAACCTTCTTTTTTGATCTTTCCAAGGATCCCATAATTGATCTGAAGTATTCTAAAATCTGTCTGTTCCAGTATATGTTTCTTATAGCTTTCGTGGGGTTTAATGAGGATATATAATATGAAGGTTATGGTAATGAAAGGAGGCAATTGACAGTCGATTAGGTGTTGATGATTGGAGGGTTTGCTTCACAAAGTCGTCACTTGAAGTAAAAGAAACAGAAAAAGAATCATGGGAAGAGGACTGCACTGCTTGCTGCACCTAAAGGTGGTTGAGATGCATATTCGTCGCCTAAAAATTTGAAGGGAAATTTTTGAAAAACCAAGTAAAATGTGAGTGAATTGGATGCTTAATGTAAATATGTTAAAATGTGTCGGACTCTCTCGGCATGTGAAAGGCACGATGCAGCTACCACCAGATGGTCGAAGGCTGTGTTATGGACTGGCTAGCTTGTCTACATAGATGGATCGTGTTAGCCTCGACTTTTTAGATGTCCATAACAAGAGTTAGCCGACCGATGTATTTTTAAAAGTATAGTCTCTTCGGAAATATTATAATTTTCTTACAATTTAGCCACCCTTAGATACAAATCTATAAATGATTTGTAAATTCAGTCAAACTTAAGCATTAATTTTAAACGCACATTATTATTCACACTTCTCGTGCAATCCACTAAATATTTCTCTTTATAAACCTATTTATAAATTTGCCAAACAAAAGTTAATGGTTGAAATTAAAAATTGTTATTAACAACAAATTTCGTAGGATTCACAATCACTATCCACTTATTTATTAACAATTTTTATCCTATTTTAATTTCAGCAACTTATAATTTTATAAAACAAGCACTTAAATTCTGAAAAATTATAAAAGCTAGCCATAGGTCCAATCAAGCCGACGAACAATTTTGAGCCCAAGTAATTTTACGCGCATCATGCTAAAAAAATGGGACGTCTCAAAATGTTGTCACGGTTACACCACTATGTTGACATCCACGTACTATCTGTATAATAAAAAAAAGGCAGATATATTCCTTGTTTGAGCCCCGTTTTTGTAAAAAAAAAAAAAATGCATTTTTGAATAGTGTGTTGACGATAAATGTATTGTTAAAAAATAAAGAAATATTCTAAATTTACGGGTAATATTATTTTATTGAAAAATATGTAATTGAAATTGGATCAAAACACTATTCAACAATACATTTAAAAAAAAAAAATAAGGCACCTATTTACGCACCAATCCACCTGGATGTAGTGTTCAAGAGGTCATGGATAAGTTGGCTGCACACACTTCCAGGTTGCGAACCAATGACTCCTCTTTTCAAGCTTGGATTGGGACTATTTAGGGCTGGGCAAAATGTTTGAATCGAATCGGAATCAAACCGAATCGAGCGGATTTTTTTAAATGAAATACCCGAACGGGTATCCGAATCGAGAACCAAATGATTTGGTTCAGTTCTCGGTTCTAGAC